TATTTATTTATTTATTATTTTTTTTTTTTGGTTTACAAATAATTAATATTGACACGATCTCTACATATTAATTGAAAAATGGTTTAGTATATCATCTCAAAATGTAAGACGATAGATAATATTATATATATATTTTTTAAGCAATTTTGGTTAAAAATGTGAAGGATAAATTAAAACCAATTAACATTTTGTCTATTTGTTTGGATCCTTCAATATATATTTATAAATTAACTAATAATAATAAAGTAATCAACACTAAATTATCATTTAAAACTCGGTTCAGTCTATGATTATCTGATTGGTGACTTGTGTTTCTACAATCAGATATTAAATTTACAAATTATAGACATAATGTTGGGTAGGTGATTTTATATGGTTTAATTAATGATTAGTATTATGTTTCAACGAGTTGTTAACCACTTTATATTTTAGTAATTTTATTATCGGATTTAATTTAAATTCAAATTCAAATTTAGAGATAAACTCAGAATTTGAATATATGTTGTTGACCTCGCAGAGAACATATACTGAACCCGCCCTTGCACGTGTAAGTCAAATCCAACACACTAAGACACACCAACGATCTGAGAAAGGGCGTGGGAGCAGCTTAAAGGCATAGGACGATAATGTTCGGAATCTAGCGTTACATTTGTAGAATGATTGTACGATAATTACCAATCGTAGAGGATGAACACTATGTAAACTTAGTTGCATTTGTAAGAGAGTAAAATGGAGTGAATTGTTTTGCATTTGCTCTAACATTGAGTTTTGTATTCAAATTTGTGGCCTCATATCCTTGATCCGTACATTTAATTTTAGGCATCACTTTTAACTTGTTAGCCAACTTTACATTTATTAAGTGGCAAAATCGTTACTTTGTTTAATAAAACTTGACACTCAAACCCTCGGATGGGAACCCTTTTTTTTCTTCATGCTTTTCCCGAACAAAACACCTCACTAGTGAAAAGTACATCGATATTTCACCAAACTCACCACATTCGATCTTTAAAAAACATTGAAATTATTAAATGAAATTTCAGATTACTCATATTTTTTTATCGTTGACTTGTTCATCTATATCTGTTGCAATTAAGTTACTCTATTCATTTTCACTGACTTAATAATTAATATACAATAATGGTAACGTTTTAATTAGACAGATACTCATCTCAAACACTTTTAATTTCATAGTAAATAATGTTATTGAGGACCAAGTCTAGTTTCTAGACGACATTAACTGATAGAAATAATTAAATCAATTACATATTTTTTATATTTATTAATGACATATACGATGATGACGTGGCATCGCCAGCTCTGGATAACTATGATTGCGAAAATTTTAGTAGCCTCTAATATATTTTACATTCTCTGTGGCGCTTATGCATATGTATCTCAAAAACTGATCCCCACACTTACGGGCCTTTCAACCAAACCCTCTCCCCCTCCCTCTCCCTTCACAAAATACGTTCACACAAATCTCAAATCATTTGTAACCAGCGAATTTATGTTTTTTCATTTTCACGCCATTTTTCAACCATTTTCATTTGATTTTGCAAATATAAACCAGGCAAACGGAGAGTTTGGAGGGAAATTTTGCAGGGAATTTGAATTGGGTATAGTTTGAACATGCAGACGGGTGGGTTGCCATCGCTCTCGCTGAGTTTCGGTAGCTCCAGCAACAGTAAGCTCACAGAAGTGGGGGCTCGAGTCGTTGAAGAATTGAGAGGAGAAGAAAAGAATTCTGAAGGTTTCTATGGAGGAGAATGTTATCCCACACAAAACAGAGAAAAAGAAGATTTCAGTGACCGTGAAAATGAAAATGAGGATTTTGAGTTTGCGTTTGTGACAAGAGAATCTCAAATTTCTTCTCCGATTTCAGCTGATGAAATTTTCTGTAACGGGCAGATCCGACCCGTTTCCAATACAGATTTATTGCTTGGGAGCATGAACCTTGAGCGTCAAAATCATAGCATAGAAAATTCGTGTTCATTAAAGAGTCCGGGTCGGACGATTCGGCTTCCATTGAGAAAGCTTTTTATTGAGGAAAGGGAAACGCCATCGTCGGGCTCGTCTTCAGAAGCCGACGAGCTCGACGGCGTGCCGCCAGAAACCTACTGTGTGTGGGGACAGAAGGCTTCGTCGGAGCGGTGTAATAAGAGTAATTCCACCGGCTCTTCAAAACGGTGGAGGTTTATGGACCTTTTGCACCGGAGCCAAAGCGACGGCGGTAAGGACCCTTTTGTCCTCTTCACTCCCAGCAAACGAAAAGAAAATGAAAAAACTAAGAAGACAAAAACGCCGGGCAATGGCGGAAAAGTAAAATCGACGGCGGCTGTGGCACAATTTTCGAAGAAGGGTGGCGATCGTCGTAAATCGTATCTGCCGTACAGGCGAGATCTGGTAGGGTTGTTTTCTAATGTAAATGGTCTGAGCAGGAATTTAAATCCATTTTAATATTTTTATTTTATTTCCCTTTAAATTTAGTTTGATTTAGTAATATTCACATCATTAGTTGTGCTTTCTTACTTATATCCTTGAAAGAAAATTTAAATTAGTTAGTTTGTTTAAAAGTTGTATGTATGTACAGTTGAAAACTTGAATTTTCTTGATATTAATATCTATCAATTCATTATATCAAATACTCAATACATAAAAGCATTTGAAGAATCGAGGATGACTCCTCATTAGCATGCTAAAATACAAGCATGGCATCTTTCTTTCAATGTAACAAAACGATATACATGCCCCTCAGGGCACATTCCAACTGGCAAAGATGAGGGCGCTTCAAGACTGCAGATCAGAGATCGTGAGTTCGATTTTTGGAAGGCTCTTGAAAGACAGATATTTTCCTGGAATGCAGGATTTATCTTGGAAGGCAGGAGCTCTACTGGAAGGCAAGGTGCAAAGATGGAAAACGACTTACTTGGCACTTTAGCAGATCAGTTGAGGGGGCTCTTGAGCACTGATCAGTTTCGGACACAACCTACGATTTAACTTATCTGCAGCTTGAGGGGCCAAAGTGTAGATTCCAGGATTTAGTCACTGTAAGATGGATACCTAGATATCAAAAAAAAAAAAAACAAAAAGATATACATTACTAACTACGGTCTTTCTTTCTTTTTTTCCTATAGACAATCCTCGTTTTTGTGATCCCTTCGTCCCTATGCCTCACAAACCGCGTTCTTTTCCTTTTTCCTATTTCAAATTGCAATTATCTTTCCTTGTCTAGTCTTCATTGCCTACAAGTTCGTACTTTAACCAGAGTCTCCACAGTGAAGACTTAAGACACGACATGGTGTGCTTGATAGCAAGTGGGTTGGTTTAGAAAAAATAACGATAACATTTTTTTTTAATTAAATAAATTGAAAGCACCGAATTAAATATTCTAGATGTTTGTAGTCTTCTATGATTCTTCTGAAACATGGTTAGCTTGTGACAATTTTTTCTTTTGTGATACTACTCAAGCAATCCCAGTTGCACAAGCTTTTGAAATTAATTCATATCATTCACATAAAAAAATCGGGTTGCACCAAAAAGTTATTGTAAAAGGAAGAAGAAAGGTAATGGGCTGGTGGAAAAATTGAAAAAATTATCAATTGTGGAGAAATAATTAAAAGATTTATGCCCCAGTTTCCTTGTGGAAAGTGGAGTTTTCATATTAATAATGTGACATAAAATACTTTTTGCCTAACAAGCAAAATCAAGAAAGTGATAGCAAGCGACAAATATGGAAAAGAAAAATAAAATAAGCTTACCAAGTCAATCGAGAGACTTAGTTGAGCAAATTAAACTGCCCTCACTTAGATTAAACATTTTGTATTAATTTTTTGGTAGTTCGTATTGAACACGACATTATGTTATAATGAATAATATTTTAATTATACATGTCATTTCTTAATGCTAAAAATGTGTTAAGTTGTAAAGTCTGATTGTGTCGCTAGGTAGAGTCACTACGCTGACATTTATAATTTTGATATTGCCCTAATTTGCTATCATTAAAGTTTTTTTATATCAAAAAAGAGAGAGATGTTAAAGAAGATATGTTGTGAAATTTTTCTCTTTTAAACCTATTTTTATCATACTAAATACTGCAATGACAGACGAGGACATAATCTCACATTGATACAATCTTTATAAATCATGTGTGTTCTTGTGCGTTTCTATTTCCTACTACAATTTTATTACTTTTAAAGTGTGTTTGATTAAATATATTTTTCATGGAAAATATCAATTTTTCACCCAAATTTCTACATTGGGTGTTTGATTGTTATTTTTTTCCATTGAAAATATTTTCCAACATTTGAAAATGAGCTTAATTTTTCTTGTTTTTAAGGAAAATATTTTCTTTTGGAGGAGGTAGTTTTTGTTATTCTCAAAACAAAGAAAACATTTTCTTTTTTAGATGATATTTTTCATACCAACCAAACACACTCTTAGTGATATAGAATTAGAACTTTTCATTTTCGACACAATATTACATAATCTATTTTTCAAACAAGACATAAGATCTTTATACATAGCTCTTGTTTAAACGCCATTTTATTTATTAAAAAAAATTAGTTTTTTAAAAAACTCATTCAACCACATATTTTCCAATAAAATTGAAAAAAAAAAAAAAAAGATGTTCTCATTTTTTAACTATATGTTCTCATCAAAATATTATTTCAAAAATATAATTTTTTCTCTAAATGGAGCTCAAGTATGGGCTTGGAATTCAATAATGGTAAAATTCAAATAAATATGAATTGAGACGAATGATTTTGTATGTATCTCGGAGGGTTGTCAATGTGTTGTGGTCTTGGTCTTGGTCTTTGTCCTGTGACAATATTTACATTCCAATCGAATCCAACTGCAAAAGTTTCCGACATACTTTGGAAAATGGGCAAAGTGAAATTCTCTCCTACGCTCTTTTTAGTATGGCAGATTCCACTGGCCCCCATCACGTCAAGAAAAGAATTTTTGTTTCTTGAAAATTCTTAAATAAAATAACTTAAAATCTGCAATAGTTAATTATAGGAATAAATCATTTTTACAATGAATTTGTACAACATGCTTGACAATGATATAGGTGTCAAAAAAGTATTGATGAAAAAAATAAAATATTTTTTAAACTGTCCAATAATAACATGACACATAACATGTTGTCAAACTTGTTGTAAAAATCATTGTACAACAAACATGATTCGTTAGTTATATATAAAAAGTCGACCCCACTTGACTCTCTCTAATGTTCGAGTCTATGTACTGATCGATTTAAAATATCGATATAATGTTTACATGTTCCTTTTATTTTGTACAATTTAACCCGTTAGCAATATTAGATCATTACTTTCAATATGGACATCAAACAAATACAAAAATACAAGTGATGTAGCATCCTTTTGATAGAATCCATGACCAATTTAATTTATTAATATATAGAAATGATTTGTGAATAAGTAAATAGTATTTTGAATTTATTGAAAGTATGGTTAAAATTAAAATTTAATTATTTATAAATAATTAATAAACTTTATCAAATAGAACTGTGACAAGAGTTAAACATAAATAAATAAACTTGTTGTTTCTATTAATGGAATTTACATAATGAAGATTTCCACTTGTACAGAAAATTGTTCGAGAATATTCTGCCAGAAATGTCACATGTTTGGAACCTATGTCGTGATAAAAAAAAATGTTAAAAAAATCCCTCATCCACCTCCAACTGTGTCTATTTTATATGACGCGTCTATTATTGAATTCACCCAATCCGATAATTTTTAATTTTCTATACACATAGCAAGCTTCTTACGTAATTTTAGTTTAGATGTTAGAAAAGCTGTCCTCAGGGCACATCTCCAAGTGGTAAAAGGGGAGGGTGGAGAAATCCAGTTTTGCTTGAGACTGCCGCGTCAAGGGTTCGAATCCTGAAATATGGATTTGGTTATTGGGTAAGTGCAAGTGTACAAGCAGTCTTCCACCCTGTACCTTTGGAGGCATAACTTGCGATTTACCTCCTTCACGATACTCCAAAGCAGGGGCGATAAAAGACCCTTAAGGTTGGGGTTCAACCTTTTTTAGGTGTTAGAAAAGCAATTCCAATTTGATTTGTCATTGAATGATGCTCGCATCCCCATAAAGGAAGGCAACGGATACGCGTAAGAGCAAAAGCATTATGTGAATTTGAACGTGTTTTCACATCTTCACTTTTGCTTCTTTTCAAGTCTACAATCTACTTTCCACAAAAAAAATATGACTCATATTTCTTGGAGCCACAAACAGGGCTGTTGTTAGCTTTTTCAATTTAATCGAATTTTAAATATTGAGCCCTCGAATTGTTGTGTCTATTTGCTTATTTAGAATACAAAAGATGATGAATTTATTCAACTTACAAAAAGACGAAAATATTACACTTTTTTTTCAAAAATTGAATAAAATATATACATATAAACGTATGCAGAAAACATAAAATAAAATTGAGTGATGCAGAATCTGATTGTCCAACAAGAAATGGCAATATGACGTCCACCTTAAATCCTTAATCAATACGATTGATTCAATCATTACAAAAAAAATGTAATAATTTTCATTATTTTCTCATTAAAATGAAAAATATTATCGTTATTCATCACATCAAGCCACCAAATTTGAATTTTTATTTCTTGTGTGGGGCCCGTAACAGCTATATTTTTCATTTTCATTCTTCCAAAAATGAGAAACAAACGGAGGCATATTAATTATCTAAAATGAAATCGAATAGGTAAAATATAAATATCACATACAATACACTATGCCTACTTCTTGTGGTCTTTGAGTGTATTTTTGCCAAATTGAAAATGGAGATGGACTAAAATCAAAATTTCAGAAAAGTTAAATATGGCCTTACGCTATTCGATCAATGCTATTGCCAATGTCAATCCAATTCCAATGGGATAGAAATTTCTTCAACCATTAATTGAAACAGCTAATGAAAATTTTACGATTACATCTTTGTTTGCTCCTAAAAAAACTCGAGCAATAAAAGAGAGAAGTAAAATCGTCAAATGGATTCTTAAGGTTTCAATTTTCAAATTGGGGGAAATGGGTTTTGGGGTTGGGTTTTTAATTGGATGAGATTATTATTATTATTATTTATTTGCCGTGGGCTTAGGCTATCCCGGCTAATGCTTTAGAGAACAAAAATAAATAAATAAATAAATATGGAGGAGGAAGGAAAATTCACAAGTCAGGTATTAAGTATCGAGCAATTAAATTTTTAGGTTTTAAGTTTTAAAATTCAAAACTAGGGTATTAATTAACTAAATTAAAATATTTTATTAATTAAATATATCAATGTTACAATTATGCAATTAATGGTCATATATGCATACTTATGAGTCACAACTTGTCTTTTGGTCACATATTATTTCATAGTCACAATCAAAATTTTCATAAGTCACAATTTATTTCATGGATCACAAATTAAAAAAATATGTAAGTCACAGTTTATTTGTCGATCACACATTTTCAAATTAATTGGTCGTAAATTATTTTTCAATTACAAATTATCGAATTTTTTAAATTACAATTAAATAATTGATCACGAGTTAACCGAATAGTTGGTCACATACCACAAACACAGCCTAATAGTGCCACCATGACCAACAAAACCCCATCTACGACCACCACCACACATGTCGTCGTTGTTGCCCAAAATTGAAAAACCATCATAACATACTTGATAATTGTGGAAAACACCACTACAGCAACCATCGGCCACACAAACTACCATAACCATTGGGGATATCAAATTCAAGAATGAAGACAAAGGAAAGGGAATAACAAATTTGTTGTCGCACCAAATCCCGACAGCGATGAGCGTACAATCGCCATTGCGCCAAATCATGATAACGCGTCTCGTTGTTGCTTTGAGTGTAACATGCCATACTCAAGAGGTAGCAACAATGATGATGGGACGATATATCTAATCAAAATTGATAAATTAAAACACCCTTTTTTAATTTATCGTCAATTCACACTCGCCGTCCCAAATTGACATCTAACAATTTATCAGGGCAATACATGTGACGAGAAATGTCACGTGGTAGGACAAAACCAAATTCGTTCGTTTACCGTGAAACTATAATCCCTTTGTCATATGATCCGATCAATTACGAGATATGGAAGTGTACCAATCTCGATCATCGATCATATCTTTCATTCCACTATTAAGTCAATATAAGTTGAAAACTCCTTTTCAACTTATGAGT